ATGCAGCCTTCAACATTTGAGCATATGTCTGCTTGGAGCGTCCAGAGATTGAACGCTGCACTTTATCGGAGTGCTGCTTGTACATCGGGCACTCCTGCAAAGGGTGAGGATTCTCGCCACAATAAGCGCATTTTACTGATTCTTTGTGGCAAGAATCCTCTTTGTGGTTTTCACCACATTTGCCACAACGAGTTTTGTTGCCGCAATGGCTGGCCGAGTGTCCCAGCCTTTTGCAGTTGGTACAATTGTATACCCTCTGTACAAACAGCCGCACCGGAAAAAAAGCACCATCAATTTTAACAAAGTTTGGGAGAACCGAACCTGCGAAAGTCACGCGAAACGAGTCTGAATGCCGATAAACTTTTTTACCGTCTAGCAAAGATGCTGAATGCAGTTGCCTTACATCCAGTATCTTCACTAGCGCGGTAGCGAATGTCGAGTTTTTAAAAGTTCCCGAGGCATGTTTCAAGTCCTCGACAGTCAGACTCGCGTCGGAGACCACGCCTTCTATCTCCACATCTCGAGAAGGGATGTAGATGTTATACTCAACACTAAAAAGCTCGTGTTCAGCAATTTTATTTGCCACATCATAAGTCGGTGCTTCTACCCGCAGTTTGTTGAATCTTTCCTTGTGTACCAAGATTCCCGGATACTTCCGCAGCAAATCTCTCGTAATGTCGAGAGTTTTCAAAGGTTTATTTTTGGGCCGAAAAAAGACAACCCATGGTCCTTTCGAAGACGGTTGGTAGTATCTGGTTCGCGCAACGTAGGCATCCGAAGACGCCATAAGTGTTGCGCAAAAGCGGTGCACAACCGCTTAAAAATGAAAAAAAAAAAAAAAAAAACTTAAGAATAACTTTCACCAATTAATTTACTTAACTACTAGTTGTTAATATTTCGTTGCCATGCAACCATACAAAAAAAAATATTATCAAAAAAAAAAAAAAATTAGATACAAAAAAAAAAATAACTTTTTACTAATTGCAAAAATGCCCCACCCTATTAGGGAGAGCACACTGCCACAAGGCAACTTTGCTATACAATAGCAAGGCAATCGAAAAAACTATTCTACTATACTTATGCCGTTTGCTACTGCTTGCTTGCAGCTGCAGGTGGCGATACAATGGAGACGTCGATAACTGCGATACAATGGAGACGTCGTGATGATGGTGATCTTTCACCGGGATGGGTAGAGATGGACACTCGAAATAAACGGGCTCGCCGAATTTCGGTGCTTCCGAGACACGCGCGCTTATCACCTGGACACTGCACTGTGATGCGAAAAAACCACGCGGGTGGAAAAAAATCACAACTAATACTTTATGTCGTGTGAGAGACCGGGACCGTGTTAACCGACTCAGCGCTCGATACGGAATGAACATGCGGGGCTTATTGTGAGTGAAAGTAGCCTCGGAATGGGCTTGACTCTCCAGACATTCTGAAATGGGTTGCTGGATCTGCAATAGAGCTATCACCTTCTAACTCCCGGACTAAAGCTGTCTACAATGACCATAAATGCGACATTGTAGAGAGAGTTCTTCCATAATAACACTGCCGGCCAGTATGGTTAGATTGAATAAACACACACACACACGTTTTGACAGCTACGTTGACAAGCTGAAACACCTTCCGACACCCAAAAACACAATAAGCACGAACAAAAGGTGGCAGAGTGACTTACCCCCTGCTTCGATCTCTATATGGTAGTTCTCTTAAAAATGCTATAACAATCGCCAAGCTCGCTGTTACATCACCAAGTGCCTCACCACCCACGAATTGGCGCCTATGTCAGTGGTCTAATACACGCTAACTTGAAAGTACTCATTAATGAGTAAAAAAAGATCCATTTTGAAGAAAAGTGGCTTAACTCATTAATGATTAAACAATTTTACCCATTAATGAGTATCTGTTACCCATTAATGATTAACAATTACTCATTAATGGGTAACAGATACTCATTAATGGGTAAAAAATTTACTCATTTAATGAGTTAAGCCAATTTTCTTCAAAATGGTTCTTTTTCAACCTTTAATGGGTACTTTCAAGTTAGCGTGTACAGCGCGCTGATGGCATAGTTCCCCTGCCTAAAACCCTACAGTAAAAGTATGGACGTCTGTCAAAAGTTGTTCCAATCGAACCGTCAAAATGCACCGCTTTGCTCGATTGGAACAGCTTTTTTTCAGTTTTGTGGTGTCAGTCGTCCATACTTTTACTGTAGGGCTTTACCCCTGCCGCATAGAGAGTTGACACAATGATATTAGGTTAGCTAAGAGCAACCGTAACGGTACGCTGCTAAACTCATTTTAGCAGCCCGCATCATAGCGCAGCTACCGTATCGGGGGTTGCCATACGAGTAACTAAAATAGCAGTCTGCTTCTCGGTGAGAAGCGCGCTACCAAATTTAGCAGCGCGATAGCAGCGCGGGAGAAAGGTTGCTATTCGTAGAAATGTCAAAATGCTCACTACCGGTACGGACAAAGGTGAGTAAATTGATAACCACGATAGCAGCGACCGGTGTGGAGAAGAGTGACTAAACTAAAATGAGAGCGCTGTGCGCTGTTAAAATAGTCGCGCAAATGACAACGACCGTTACGATTGCTCTAAGGTCAGTTAACTGACTGGTTGAAAACGGGAGCTTCAGAATTGACTATTATGTACGCATTTTTATGATTTTATCTAACAACAACGGTGTGTAGTGTATACACACTCATTTTTTATTGCTGTAAACCAGCAAAATTTTGCTGGATTTTGCCGAGCTGGAAGCTCAGCAATCCTTCCAGCAAAATATTTTTGCTGGATGACCAGCAATTTGGGTCGAAGTCAAAGTGACAACACATTACTGAAAAATCAGCAATCTTTACTGAATGTACAGCAAAGTTGAGTAACAACCTTTTTGCTGGAATTTCAGCTAGTTTTATGTACCTATTTTCTTTTCATATTAACAGCAAATAAATAGATCACAGAATTGCATACACTTGATAACATTAATTTATTACACCGTTATGTTGATAACATATTCCTTTTAACGCTGATTATGAACCATCCATCATAAATACGGTTATTTATGAAAGGCAGACAGGATGTAACTATAAGCTGGTTGAACAATTGATCTTTAATCGTAGAGGCTGTAAAGAATAGGGAGTTGTTATTTTTCACGAAACACAAAGATTTTTATATTTATTCAGTGGTTTAATAAATATTTACCTGCATTTTCTTAAATTTTATCAGAGGATTGGCAAGAAAAAACTCGAGAAAAACACATTGCAACATGAACAACATGTAGTACAAAAGGAAAATCGATAAACAGTTTGACAGTTCTTGAAGTTCACTGAGCCTCCAGCAAAATGAGCATGTTTGCTGAATGTACAGTAAAATTTGTTTTTGCTGAAAACAAACCAGCAAATCATTTTGCTGGAACTCGATTTCAAAATTTGGTGTGTACACGATCATGTTTATAATTCTAATGTGTTGTAAATATAATTGAAAGCATTTGAAAAGTTAGATTCTAATGTTTTGTATATCTAAAAACGTTAGTAAACATCTACATTTGAAAACATTCAAACAACGTTTACGAAAACATCAGAGAACATCCCGTAAAAAAAGAACCATTGAGGTACAATAAAATGTATTGTAACCATACAATAGAATTGATTGCTTTTACAATAAATCGTATTGTCCGCAACTATAGAATAACCATAAGATTTATTGTTTCCACAATAGGATCTATGGTAAATTGGATAATCTAAAATAGGACAAGGGGATTGTTATGTATCTTCACCATACAAAAAATCACATTTTCCTGAACAAACTTGAGCCATTTATCATTAATTTTATTGTTTTTCTATTGTTGAAAATTCATACTATCCAGCATTTTACGAGCGCTTATGGCCGCAACAATCTGGCTGAGTTTTTGGTAGGGAACATATGATTTGACGTTTGGGTTGCGTCGTTTGATTGTTAAACGTTCAAATTTGATCGTTTACACGTCAAACGACACAAGCCAAACTTCAAATCTTATGTTCCGTACCAGAAACTCAGCCAGATTGTGGCGGCCATAATTGATCGTAAAATGCTGGATATGGGACGTGTATCGTATATCTATTGTAATAACAATTTTTTTAAATTTACTTGTATAATATACATACAATAAGACCGATTGCAGGAAATAGATTTTGTTGTGAATGTATAATATTTTATGGTAATTGTATGGTTATTTTTTTTTCCGGGATTCCGGTCCCTTTCATCCAATTAATATCACCCGTATGCAAGGTAATTTTGTGGTTTTGCTGCCCCCTCGGTAGAGATGAAATTTGGCGCACCTTTTTATCAAAACAATCACATCAAAATCAGAGATGTCCCAACTAATCGATTATTTTTCGTTCGCTGTGCTGTCATTTTTCCACCAATAAGAGTGCAGCACATGTTTGATAGATCGGTGATGATCTTCTATAGAGAAGTTAATGCTTATATCGGCATGATGTTATCTCCCGAATAGAAATTGTAATGTAGGAAACATCAGCAGACATCTTCAATACATTAAATTTTAACGTGTATTGCTGTACCCTTAATGTATTCAGACTTCAGTGTGACGTCCAAGTACATAAAAATACATTAGCCTCAAACGTTACATCAGAATCAAACGTCTTGACGATGTCAAATTTGACATCAGAATACATCCAATGACAACAGAACCTAACGTTACATTAGAATCAAACTTCATCACGATGTAATTTGTTGCACGCATAAAGCATCAGAATACATCCAATGACAGCATAACCTAACGTTACATTAGAATCAAAGTTCATCACGATGTAATTTGTTGCACGCATAAAGCATCAGAATACATCCAATGACAACAGAACCAAACGTTACATTAGAATCAAACTTCATCACGATGTAATTTGTTGCACGCATAAAGCATCAGAATACATCCAATTACAACAGAACCAAACGTTACATTAGAATCAAAGTTCATCACGATGTAAATTGTTGTCCCTCGGTCCCTCGCCGCATGCAAAGTTTGTTTCGAGGTTTGTTTTGTCCTGAGTCAGCACCACACGGCGAATGAGAACGACCCAAATTTGAGTTTAGTTCACTCATAAATTGCAAAAAGTGCAGGAACTCAGTTTTGAATTAATTTCCCTCATGTTTTCAAGGTTTTTTCCAGGAAAATTTTTCCGAATATGAGAAAAGCAAAGATTGGATTCTCTGGATTCTCGTCAATTTTCCTAATTTTAGGGCAGATTTTTGAGGTTTTCCACAGGAAAACATGCGGCAAATTTACTCATCCTGCACTTTTTTCGATATTGAGTACACTGTCCTCAAATTTGCGTTGATCTCATTAGCCGTGTACAGTTTGTTTTCGCATCAGTGGGAAAAATCTGGATCAACAATAGAAAAGGGCCCATCAGCATTTGTAAACAAACCGTTCCAAAGCCCATTCCTCACAAATCGAAGGCCGCCCACACAAACCAACACCATCATCGTGTAGGTGGAAGTTTCCCCTATCCGATGATGGTGCTGGTTTGCGTGGGTGGCCTTCGCTTTGTGAGGAATGGGCTTTGGAACGGTTTGTTTGCAAATGCTGATGGGCCCTTTTCTATTGTTGATCCAGAAGTTTGGTTTTTCGACGAATAAATTAGCCCGCGGGAAAGTGCCGATCAAGGTGACTACATATAGGTGTTCTAATGTGTCAAATTCACGATTCAGCTATGTTGGATTTTTGTATGGAACAGCTACCGAGTTTGTTTCTGTGCCATAAAAAGGGAGCTACCGAGTTTGTTTACAATTTGCTCTAAAACCGCACTTTTCCCCCCGCGACCTCCACGCTAATATAGTGACAAAGCTGTATCACCATTTATATACCCACCATGGTGCCGATAATGTGTCCGTCGCGAGTTTCAATGTTTTTCTGGTAAGTAAATCTGAACTTATTAATGTAATGTAATATAATTTTGTTTTTTTTTTAGGAAAGTGTACCAGTCCCAAGCCGACTCCCGGTAGGGAGTCTGAAGCTGGATCCCGGCGGGAAGTTTGCAGCCGGATCTCTTTTGCAGGTTAGTGAGTGTTTTTACTAAAAGCTACAATTAAATATAAGTGGACCCCGATGGAAATCCGATGACGGATTCCATAAACGGAGCCCGATGAAGGGTTCCGTAGACGGATCCCGATGACGGGTTCCGTAGACGGATCCCGGTGACGGGTTCCGTAGACGGATCCCGATGACGGGTTTCGTAGACAGATCCCGATGACGGGTTCCGTTGACGGATCCTGATGACGGGATTCCGTAAAGGGATCCCGATGGGGAAACCGAATACGGATCCTCCCGATGGGGAAACCGAATACGGATCCCGATGGGGAAACCGAATACGGATCCCGATGGGGAAAGCGAATACGGATCCCGATGGGGAAACCGAATACGGATCCCGATGGGAAAACCGAATACGGGTCCCAATGGGGAAACCGAATACGGATCCCGATGGGAAAACCGAATACGGGTTCCAATGGGGAAACCGCATACGGATCCCGATGGGGATTCCGTAGACGGATCCCGATGGGGATTCCGTAGACGGATCCCGATGGGGATTCCGTAGACGGATCCCGATGGAGAAACCGAATACGTATCCTGATGGGGAAACGGAATACGGATCCCGATGGGGAAACCGAATACGGATCCCGATGGGGAAACCTAATACGGGTCTTGATGGGTATTCCGTAGTCGGATCCCTATGGGGAAACCGAATATGAATCCCGATGGGGAAATCGAATACGGATCCCGATTGGGATTCCGTAGATGGATCCCGATGGGGAAACCGAATACGGATCCCGATGGGGAAACCAAATACGGATCCCGATGGGGATTCTGTAGACGGATCCCGATGGGGAAACCGAATACCGATCTTGATGGGGAAACTGAATACGTATCCTGATAGGGAAACCGAATACGGGTCTTGATGGGGATTCCGTAGACGGATCCCGATGGGGAAACTGAATACGTATCCTGATGGGGAAACCGAATATGGATCCCGATTGGGATTCTGTAGATGGATCCCGATGGGGAAACCGAATACGTATCCTGATGAGAAACCAAATACGGATCCCGATGGGGAAACCGAATACGGGTCTTGATGGGGAAACCGAATACGGGTCTTGATGGGGATTTCGTAGACAGATCCCGATGGGGAAACCGAATACGGATCCCGATGGGGAAACCGAATACGGGTCCCAATGGGGAAACCGAATACGGATTCCGATTGGGATACCGTAGACGGATCCCGATGGGGAAACCGAATACGTATACCGATGGGGAAACCGAATACGGGTCTTGATAGGGAAACCGAATACGGGTCTTGATGGGGATTCCGTAGACGGATCCCGATGGGAAAACCGAATACGGGTCCCGATGGGGAAACCGAATACGGGTCTTGATGGGGATTCCTGTACACTGATAAAATTTCAAAGATTGTTTCTATATGTCCTACTTTTGCAATACAAATTATATCTATGTGTCGGACGCCGTTACGTGGTGTTAGCATCTCCTGATTTTCTCTATAAATTTTCCACTTTCGACCAATTTGGCGCTAGTATCTATAAATTTTCTGTTGAAAATAGCCACTTGGCGCTACTAGCACTTAGTGTCTAGTGTAATTTGTGCAACGCATGCGCCATCATGTTTTCAAAGAGATTTTTTTAAGTGGGGAAGTCGCTGTTAGTGGCGCTTAAGTCGAATAGGAATCTTTACACAAGTTTTTAGAGAAATTTTGTTCGAGCCTCCATGTCTGTTCTCTGTGGTTCATGTGAACCAAAATTTATGAAATTTTGGATTTAGGTTCCATTTTTAAACCATTTTTTCAGCCTATAAATATTGGATTCAGAGAGTAAGCGGCGGTAAGCTCCAACTCGGATTAACTTTTAATACCGCCCCTGTTTGGATGATCTGAGAATTGTTTGTATAGCGAATAACTGATGTCGACATCAAAGCAGCCGAACATTCTTGATCGTTATTTAATCCGAGGATAATACCGATTGGAGCTTAGCCATAAGTGATTTAATGAATACGCTGATTGCGACTCTGTGAAAATTAAATCCACAGGTTTTATACGTCAAACTCATCCTTTGCAACGTCCTCTTGTAACTTAAAAATACAAAATGTCATCATAACGTATAATGACTTCATAATTCCGAAAAAAAACATGTTTCCGGGTGGAATAAGTTTCATCAAGCCTTATGATGGTACCCAAGATTGGCCACAAGCAGTGGCGTTTCCTTAACCTCAATCTACCTGCGCACCAGCTCTCAAAACAAACAATTATCAAAATATTGTTTGCAATGGATGGATATCGAGTAACCTAGAAGATTAAGTGTATTTTTCAACCGATTCGAGTATGAATAAGGCATTAAATCTGGTTTTGTATAACAAAGTTGCGCCAACTAACTCGGTCCCTGGCTGCTTATCTCCAATTTCTCGAGCGTCCCACACTTCCTACATCTTGCTCCACTTGGTCTAACCACCTAGCACGCTGTGCTTCTCTGCGTCTTGTACCGGCCGGATTTGAGGAAAAACACCATTTTTGCGGTATTGTTGTCCGGCATTCTTACAACGTGTCCCGCCCATTGTACCCTTCCACCTTTAGCGACTTTCTTGATATTGGGTTCGCCATAAAGTTACGCCAGTTCGTGGTTCATTCTTCTCCTCTACACACCATTTTCATATACCCTGCCAAAGATGGTCCTAAGCACGCATCGTTCGAAAACTCCCAGTGCTCCTCAAGCATTGTCCATTGTCATATTTTTCATGCACAATAATTTTGTTTATTATATATTTGCAGTTCGTCAATAAGGTAGAAGACTGGCAGCCCAAAACTTTCCGCATTTTTGGATCATCTGTAGAACAGGCAGAGATCTGGAGGCGCAGCGATCACATTGTCATGATTGTCTGGTAGTTCACTCAAAAATGCTATAACAATCGCCAAGCTTGCTGTAATGTCACCAAGTGCCTCGTCACCCACGAATAGGCGCCTATGTCAGTGGTCTAACAACTCTTAGCGCGCTAATGGCATAGTTCCCCTGCCGCATAGAGAGTTGCCGCAATGATATTAGGTTAGCTAAGGTCAGTTAACTGACTGGTGGGAAACGGGAGCTTCAGCATTGACAGTTATGTACGCATTTTTATTATGTTATCTAACAACAATGGTGTGTAGTGTTTACACGATCATGTTTCTAATTCTAATGTGTTGTAAATATAATTGAAAGCATTTGAAAAGTAAGATTCTAGTGTTTTGTATATCTAAAAACATTAGTAAACATCTACATTTGAAAACATTCAAACAACGTTTACTTTAAACGTTTTGTACATCTGAAAACATCAGAGAACAACAAACACGAAGTACAATTGAAAACATCCAAACAACGTTTAGTTCTAACGTTGTGTACATCCGAAAACAACCGAAAAACGTTTGATTCTAACATCAGGAAACATCTACATTAGAAAACATCAGAAAACGTTTACATTTAAAAACATCCGAACAACGTTTAGTTCTAACGTTTTTTACATCTGAAAACATCCTCAAAACGTTTGATTCTAATGTCAATAGATTGAAATTTTTGACGTCAGACCGACATTAGAATGGCAAAATTTTGTTCCAAAATTTCTGATGTATACACCATGTTACGTTGCTTAAATACAACTAAATCATAATGTTTTCTAATGTTTGACATCAGGCATACATTTGATTTCGATGCTGATGTAGACATCAGAATCAAACGTTGGGCTAATGTAAATTTCTATTCGGGCTGTTTCTTTGGTAACAAAACACGCCGAAAACGACGCAGAAATCATCGCCATACAAATTCCTATGGTGACGATTTCTGCGTCGTTTTCGGCGTATTTTGTTGCCAAAGAAACAGATAATATAACCGATTACAAATATTTTACTTTTTGGTTCGTTAATCGATTAATCGATAATTCGAATGAAAATCGGCCATCTCTAGATGAATGTTAAACGACATTGCAAATATATGGACCGTACATGAAAATAATGATACAATAGATCAATGAAAATGCTGATGTTTTGACAGAACTATGCTGTGGCTACCATAGTATTTTACATTTGATCGTCCATATACAGTAGCGCCGAAAACATGCTGTGGTGGGTTCAAAGCTTGACCATATAAATTGATCAATTTGAAAGGGACCGGGACTAATCACAAATGACGTCCTCACGGTAACTGAAATAAACACGAGTGTTCACCGGTTGGTGTAAGCAAAGATGAATACTAGATGAACATTTCAAATGGTCCTATCTGCTTTGATCGATTCTCTTAATCGACTTTCTCTTTTCATAACCACTGCTATGCAAACAGATTTCGCGCTAATTCTACCACATATTTTGATAAAGGAGGTTCTTATCTAGCGTCCAAAATGTCAAATACAACAGGGAAAGGTTTTGCAGCTGAGTTATTGACGAAAGAGAAAGTCGATGAAGAGAATCGATCAATGCAGATAGGACCATTTGAAATGTTCATCGAGATATTGAGATATTGCTTAAAACCTAGCACTGCTTCTTGATTCTAAATTCGTCCTACGAAGTTCAATTCCGTCCAAACGCATTGAAACGCCATTAGATTTTCTTCGTCCTACGGATAAACGTAGAAAAAGGGGATTCGCTAGGAGCGCTTCTTTTGTTTTGAGAACAATGAACGTAAATTATCATGCAATGCGCTCTAACAGGATTTATGTCGTAGCTAATGAACTAACGCATAGGAACAAACCTATTATTGATTTGTGCACGGTGAAATCATTGATATTATTGATGTTTCTTGCTCGATAGAACGGAAATGGGCGATTACGACAAAGTAGCGCTCTACCCTACTAAGATGAAACTGTCGGAAGAAAAACTTTCTATTTTAGTGTCCACTTTCACGGTCCCTTTCATCCAATGAATACCCCCCTATTCAAGGTAATTTTGTGGTTTTGCTGCCCCCTCGGTAGAGATGAAATTTTGCGCTCATTTTGATTAAAACAATCACACCAAAATCAGAGATGTCTCATTTTTTAATTACTCGATTAACAACTAATCGATTATTTTTTGTTTGCTGTGCTGTCATTTTTCCACCAATTAGAGTGCAGCACATGTTTGAAACGATGGGTGATGATCCTCTGGAGAAGTTAATGCTTATATCGGCATGATATAACCGATTACAAACATTTTATTTTTTGGTTAGTTAATCGACTAATTCGAATAATAATGAAAATCGGCCATCACTAGATGAATGTGAAACGTCATTTCAAATATATGGACCGTACATAAATAATTATACAATTTGAAAGGAACCGGGGCTAATCACAAATTACATCACACGGTAACTGAAATAAACACGAGTGTTCACCGGTTGGTGTAAGTTCAGTGCTAACATTTGAAAACGGCACAAAAGCCATTTGTAAACAAATGGTTTGTGGGCCCTTTACTCACTACTTGAAGTACACCCACGCGACACAACAGCAACATCGGGTAGGGGAAATTTTCCCCTTCCTGACGATGCTGTTGGTTTGCGTGGGCGTTCTTCGGGTAGCGAGTAAAGGGCCCACAAACCATTTGTTTACAAATGGCTTTTGCGCCGTGTTCAAATGTTAGCACTGAGTTTATCTGTAATCTATTTGAAACTCAATAAAGGTTGATGCATACAGCGTTGCCAGTATTCCAGATTTATCTGGATTTTCCAGATTTTTAGTCGTCTTGCCAGATACACAGACAGACCACGTATGTTTCCAGATTTTTTAAATATGTTCCAGATTTTCCCAGATTTTTTGAACATGTTGCTTTAAAAATATCACTGCCATTGATTTACCCTCTAATAAAAAAACTAAAATGCCAAACTTGCTACTTTAATTATTAACGGCCATCGACGTTGGACATTATTGGAATTTTAAGGTAATTCTGAAAATAGTTCACAGTTAAGTGTGAGGCGAATTCTTTGTGAAATCAAAGGAGAATTTCAAGCTACTTCTGAGTAGAATTACATCCATCTTTGTGGGCTTCGTGTGGCGTCAACCATCATTTAGGCGTATTGTGAGTGCCACGAAGTGAGAGTTCGATTCCCGCTCCAGCCGAGGCAAATTTTGGCAACCTAAAAATTTCCCTACTGGTCTAATGGGTGTGGTGTGTTGTCCGTTGTCTAGTGTTAAATATTCAGTCTGTGCAACGTCTGGTTGAAGACGGTGTCAATTGTCTTGTCAACTCTGATGACAATTGCATGGAGATTTTGTCAATAAAGGAAATACAATCCGTAAGAGAAATCATAGAAAATTCATATGATGAAACTTAAGGAGTATGCTGATACGAATCGTGAGAATAATTTCAATGGGACTCTGTCTAATGTTTCTATGGAGATTAATTTTAATATAGTTTTAAGCGCAATCTCCCAGAAGACTTTCAAAACCATTTTAGTAAAGTACTTGACTACTTAGGTAATACTGAAAAGGATTTCAAAACAAGTCTGACCTTACCTACGAAGCAGTTTAAAGGGGATTTATCGTATAAGTCTGAGAAGAGTGTGACGGTCATTCGGAAGAGTGTACCAACTAAATTGTTAAGAATATTTTAAGAATTTCATAGAGAAAAACGGACACAAAATTGAATTATTACCAATTTGAGGGAGTTGTGGGATTGGAGATTATAAGAGATTACAAGAGGTAATGCTAAGAACTCTTAGCATGTTGCTGGAAAAGTTTAGATATTTTCAAGATTATTTTAGGGCGATGTGAGAAATATGATGAAATTCTAGGATGATTCGAATTGAGCTAATAAAAAAGGCGAAGATATCCTGTAAAGAGTTCCAAGTAAATTCAGACTAACAAAAATTTCATGATCTGGGACGCAGGAGAAATATAAATTCCGAAATTTAGAATCATTGCAAGATCCTGAGACTTCAAAAATGAAGCTATCAGACTTTCATTTTTGTAATATAATAAAATTATTCTTTGGCATAATGGTCATGCAAATAGTGGAGCTACCTGTAGTTTAGGTAAACTGTGTGTGAGTTCCACGATGTTAGGTTTTGATTCCCACTTCAGCCCGGTGAATTTTGCTTAAAAATAGAATTGCCTACTGGTCTGCTGGGTGTTGTGTGCTGTATGATGTCAAGAATTAAACTGTAAATCTGATCAACCTCAGAGTAATATTAGAATTATTTAGAACTAATAAAATCTTTAAATTCTTTTACTATTCTATTACTGCATCAAATAGTAAGAACTACATCGACTATTAGTTTAACAAATCAAACATGTAATTTATAACCATTCTAGTGCTTTTCATAAATTCCAGATGATCATACTGAACTATTTTTACGGAAGATTGGCACATCACTTTGATTTCAATAGCATTATGTTAAAAAGAGGATTTTTTGAGCATTCCAGATTTTTCCAGATTTTATATTTTACCTGGTCCAGATTTTTCTGAAAATGACCTGGCAACGCTGGATGCATATATTATTTCACGCTCTAAGGGGAAGGGGGGTTTAATGAGTTTGTGACAAGCAATGCATTAGGTATAGGAAAAACGTAACGAAAGGGGGGAGAAGGGCTAATTTTTCCTCAATTAAGCGTGACATAATTTCTCAAAAAAAAAAAAATCCACGGAGAGGCAGAAGGAACACAAATCTCCAATTAGAAACTCGTAGCATTGGCGTACTTTCTTTCGTCCACCGGCAGTTCGGCTTAAACGTAACCAAGCAGCTACTTTAGACTCGTTTATTGTAATTAAATATTCTACCAAAACACAATTCACGCTTAAACCTATCAGTAAATACTACATACAGCCTAAGAAACGATTCGTTCGCAATCTAGTCAAAATGTTTCCGAATGAACACGAAGCAAAAGGTAAAATCACGGCAGACATCACATTTTCCCTCTTTCCGAATCATTGCTCCTGTCCGGATCCTCCACCGTCCCTTTCCTGGTAGCTTTTGAGCAGCTCCCTTAACCGGTGAATTTCCTGATCTTTGGTCCTCAGCTCCTCGTCCTTGTAGCGCAACTGCTGTTCCTTACTTTCAATCTCCAGCGACTTGAAGATCAGCTCTTGCTCCTTTAAAATCAACGACTCGCTCGTTCGCAGCTCCAAGAGAGAGAAGTCTTCCTGCGATTCCTCCTGCTGACGATTCTTCTGGTCGATGGTGGTCTTTAGTGCTTGGATTTCCTCTTCTTGAACGCTAAGGGATTTCTTCAGATGAGAAATCACCTTATCCCTGTTGAGTTTCATACAGTTGACGGCTTCAGTCAGGGCGAACGTATCATGCCGCCGGGATGGACGGGTGCTGAGAAGGTTTTTCAGCAGATCGGCAAACTCCGGATCGAGATCATTGGAAAATTGACCCTTGCGAACCTGTTTGATCATGTCTGCTCGTTCCATGTCGGTTTCGAAGGGGATGAGCAGTTCCAGGAGAATGATTCCCATGCTGTAGATGTCCGATTTGGGGTCGCATTTACCCTCCAGCTGTTCGGGGGCAGCATAAAGGGGTGTTCCGAAGCCGACTCCAGTGTGGGAGCTTTGAAGGGGACATGCCAAGCCAAAATCACCTAACTGGATGGAAATGGATTTGTCATGATCGCTGACACTAACGAAGATGTTACTCGGTTTGATGTCGTGATGAACGATTCCCCGGGAGTGGATGTAAGTCAAACCGTTGAGCAGTTGCTGGAGGACGTCCGTTATCACGTCCAAATGATGTGGCGAGTTGTCGGAGGGTTTATTTTCCTGTGGAGGGCTGGGCATGCTACTGCCGGAGCTAGCAAGGGGTCCGGAATCTGCGGAACTACCTCCAGAGCTGAGTTTCGATGACTGGCGGCAGAATGAGTTTTTCTGGATGGCACTTGTGGTGCAGTCTCTGCGAGGACTCCGTAGGAAATTACCGTAGAATTCTTCGAAACAGGCAAAGCGATTCCGATCGTCCAACCATTCGCGGAGAGTTAGATGGCAGAGTGTCATCTGAATGTACAGGGTGGCCCATTTAAGCTTTACGTGAGGTTGTGATTCCTCTAGACTGATGAGACTTGCGCGAGCATCTTCCAGTTCAGCAAGTTGATTATTGTTTTCCTCCACCTTGGAGCCATTGCTATACTCAAACTGGATACTGAAGTCGTCGGTATCGTCCTGACGTTTAAGTGAATCATCCAGCGTTGATCTTCGTTTGCGGTGGGATTTGGACTGAAACGTCGTCGAATAATTACACGTTTTCATAAATGCGTTAAAAAATTTCAATTACCTGATATCCAGAAACAAAACTAAACGACACTCCACCGGAAATTCGTTCGTCTTCCTCCTCGCTCTCAACTTCATCGTCATCATCCTCATCTTCATCGTCCACGGTAGAAATACCAGTTCCTGACCCATTTTTAGCTCGGCCTTCCTCTCCGTGCGCCAACAGTGGCTCCAACCAGGCCGCCTTGTATGGCACGATGTTAATATGGTTCAAACTGGCCAACGTCTTCACCTCCGCAAGATGCACCAGAACATTCTTGATCGTCGTCGATCGGATCGTAATCTTCTTCACCGCATACACAATGCCATCCAGATTGTTCCTGGCCTTGTAAACCTTCCCGAAACCTCCACCGGCAATGAAATCCACTTCTGTAAACTCCCTATGATACCGGGACCACTCCAGTCCAACCGATGGCTGCAACGGCCATATATTCTCCAGCGCCACGACCGGCAGATTCTGCCCACGGGCAACACTAACCAGCTGATACAGTGCCCTCTGATACTGACTACGCATCATCTCAAACTCGCCCATCGAGTAGGTTTCATCAATCAAATTGACCGCATACAGCCGATCGCAAATGGTATCGTACAATTCCTTGGACCGCTTCGGGTCCGCTTCCAGCAATGCGCACAACTGCTGCACCAAACTCTCCACCAGTAGCGAAACCGGCGTGCTCGCTTTGGCAGCGATTCGACTCTGAAGGCCATTGTCCACTAGCCGGGTGGACGCACGAGTCACCGACGAAAGTTCATCACGGGATTTAACTGAAACGAAACCCCCAACAACATCATGAACTTTCTAGATCTTTCCACAAAATCCACATTATGTACCTCCATCAAATTTCGTAATCGTCGGAAGACTGTCCCAGTCCTGACCGAAACTTTCATCATCCTCGTCGGAATCCATTTTCGTCGTTGTAAATCTCGAGAGACAACCACCGACAAAACTCACTACAACATTAATTTCTCAACACGGAAGAAAGTTTCCTTTCATTCAAAGACGTGCTACAGGGATGGTCGATATAGGTAGGTAAATAAAAAAAAATACGATTAGTCGTCTTCGGTCTGATTCGTTTCATTCGCGATGTTGTGTGATGTTTTTCGTTCTTATTCTTATCCTTCCTTGCATGTGTATTTTGACAATTTCACTTTGGATGCTCCTTCGCATAAAGGCGATCAGCTGTTCTCACAACCAGGGGAGCACTACGGGGGAATCGAATGAAGGCAAGCTGCGAACGTAGCCCATTGTTTATACAGAGCATATGCAACAATGAGTGCGATCTACCCAGTCACTGAGTAGCCTTTAAATAGCGTGTTTGAACTGTGCTTCACCGTTACCGCAAAATACCCAGTAATTACTATAACATACTCAGGCTGTGGTCCATTTGGTGAATTTTCACTTAAATTTGACACTTCGAAACTAAATTATAATGTTCGAAAATCCCTCTGTTGTTGATCGGCCAATTTTCGAGAAAGTGTGTGTCAAAATTGATTCCTTGTCTGTCAGATATAAGTCTGCTGGAATAGCAGGTTTATTTGAAAATTTTCCATCTGTCAAGTTTAAGTGAAAATTCGCCAAATGGAACACAGCCTCAATATTGAATTCAAAGTAAGCATTTTCAAGGGAGACTGGGACTACCCATTAAATTAGTAAAAATAAATTACCCGTGTATGAGTATTTGTTACTCATAAATGAATACCTACTAGTTATTTTTTAAGTTGTAATAACTCATAAATGGGTAGAATTTTACTAATTTAATGGGTAGTCCCAGTTCCCTCGAAATGCTTACTTTGTATTCATTGTTGGGTATTTTGCAGTAACCGTGTACACAGAAATGAAAAACCGAGGGGCACGCAATACAAAGAACCGGTGCGTTGAAGTTAAAATGCAGTCAAAAGTACTTAAAGTAATTAATGCGTTTTGAAGTAGTACTGACGGTAATTAAAATTATCTATCCGTAATTAATGTAATTAAAAGTATTGAAAATGTAATTAATACACTTGAATTACGAAATTTCAACTGTAATTAATGGAGTTAAAAAGTAGATAATGTTCTACATTGTGTAATTAATGTAATTAAAGCAGTTGTTTACTATATGTTAAACATAACGTACAATTTTGGTTTTATGAGGGTTGTGTAGACCATGATTTAGACTTGTAGAATGCTATAAAACCCCGATAAAACCTGCAATGTTACTTGGGGTCGCATCTTGTGCGCATTAAAGCGCATTATTCAAGGAATACAGTGCACTAGATACGAAATTATGTTTAACGTACAAAACGAGAGTGAAATCGATTGTCGCGAGTGGATTATTTCAGTTTCCAACTCTAGCTAATTTAGTATAAGTATTCGCAGAATCGGTCATGTTTGTAGTCTAGTAAAATATATATGGGCGTATTTTGGGGTTTAAGAAGAGTTTTTGAATAAATTGATTCATTCAATTATGTGTTGAGGGTTTTCTTATTTTTGTATAGTTCATGAATAACACGGCACCGAATTTTGTTCATTTAAATAAAAAATAAAAATGTTCATTCTATAAACATATGAATAATTCAAAATAAATTAAAACCATGTTTGTAACAAAAATAAATATATTTGAATTAAAGTCAGAAGCATGTTTATTTCAACAATATAGAATTTGGGTAAACGATTTTTAGCGTGCCCTGCATTTTTTACTTCTTGTTTACACATTCGGAAAAAAAAAATTGCCCCAGCTTTGCCAATCAACAGGAAAACGGCCCGCAACAAAACCGAAGTCATGGATGCGGAAACCCACCTAGGTAAGTATCTTAACAAAGGGAAACGAAAATCCGAAATGGATTTTGAATCTATTCCGGATCCTCCAGCACCTCCCCCCCCCCCTGGAAAAGTAATTTCTTCCTGTTTGCTTCGAGCTTTTGTCTTTGATCTTCTCTCCTGCCACAGATCCGAAACATGCTCCTCATTAACACCAGCCTGGTGTTCTTGCTCTTTCCGTAATTGATCCTCATTTTCCATTCGCTTCGAAACTACAGCAAGCTTTATCATATTTACACAATCCTGACTCGACTGATTAATTTGTTGGATCAACTTCTTACTAAAATCAGTGCTGCATTCATCCTCCTTCCTTACCGAACTCAACGGTTTCTCATCATCCTCATCTTCTTCCGATTCCTGCATTTCCAATCCTACATTGCAACGGGCATTGCAATCAAACTGAATTCGGGATCTTCCTGCAGATCGTTTTTTCATCTCTTGGCAATCCATTTTTCTGCTTTATAATACATGCAAATGCTAATATAACTTAAAATTAAGTATGTTTCTTTCAAACATAAGAAGCGTGTTTAAAATAAACATATTTATTTTTGTTCGCATAATTGTTGTCAAACCAAACAAAAATATTCACGTTTATTTTCAACACGAATATTTTTAAAACAAACGTAACATTATTTTTATTTTAAACATTAATATTACATAACTTCAAATATGGCATACGTTTGAAATAAACCTTGTTTATTTTTGTGGCCAGAACAAACTGAGTTTACGTTTAAATTTACCTCAAATATTTTTGTTTCAACGATAAATTTTTCTGCGTGCACGGATACGAATTTTGTTCATTTAAAACAAAAATATAAATTTTTATACTCTAAACATATGAATTATTAAAAGTAAATTGAAAGCATGTTTAAAACTAAAATATTTACGTTTGAATTAAATTCAAAAGCATGTTTATTTCAACAATATAGGATTTGGGTAAACGGTTTTTAGCGTGTCATGCCTTTTTATTTCCTTCTTGTTACAGTCGGAAAAAGTTGCCCCAGCTTTGCTCAACCTCAACAGAAAACGGCCATCCATTCCGGATCCTTTTCCGATACCGAACATGGAAAGAAACCGGTATGAGGACCAGTGGCAGAAACCGAGGCAGAAACGGCAAAACGACGCTAATAACACAAATTTGTACCGGTTCCACTGAACTGGAACCCCCGGACACCCACCCCGACGGGTCCTCGCATCCTGGACTAGGACCCCAATACCCACTTAATCGCACCCGAAAAAGAGCAGGAATGTAGATGCTCTGCCCGAAGATCTTTTTGTTTTTCATTTCATTGCAATAAGTTTCATTTTGCTTCACCCTGCACTCAACTACTAAAATAATTCCAAAATATGTTAATGTATGTTAATAGGTGAATCCAATAAAAACTAAGCGATCGATGCAGCCTCTGGTGGTGAATAATAGAACCATTAAAAGAGTGATGAAGGCTGAAATTTTCACCGTGAAGCATAGGAAGTGGTAAATGTGTTTACCTATTCTGATTAATTTATCCATCGCAGGTGCTTGTAATCATCATCCACATGGAATATTTTGTTTTCTGTATCGATTTTGGAGTGATCCAGCTGGTGCTTCCACATGTTTTTGTTAAGAAAAGTGAAGATTTATAAAACTACACCATTGGTTATGATCTTCCGGATTTTTAATCTGGTGTTATTTGAGCTGTAAATCCGTTCAAATGTATGAAAAATAATAGAATAAGACCCCTCCCGATGGATATATGCAAGATACGCATAACAATATACGTTAATTTGAGATGTAAAAATTGTAATTTTGATGTAAACAAACGGTTTGGTTGACGTTTCCTCTCATAATCGCCTAGTGCTCTCTATATTGGTGGTGCATAGAAACAGCCTATTTTAAACATTAGAAGCATTTTTAAAATAAACATATTTATTATTGTTCGCATAGCTGTCCAAACAAAAATAAATAAGTTTATTTTCAACACGAATATTTTTGAAATAAACGTAACATTATTTTTATTTTAAACATTGATTTGACATGACTTTAAACATGGAATACGTTTGAAATCAACCTAATTTATGTTTGTGGCCAGAACAAACTGAGTTTACGTTTCAATTTACCTCAAATATTTTTGTTACGACGATACTTTTTTCTGCGTGGATGATGCTGGAAATTGGCGTTCGATTGTCATGGAAAGAATAATTTACGTTTGTTTATAAATGTTGATAGTACCTTTTCAATTGTTGGTCTAAAATATATAGAATTTGTTCCACTTTTTGATAGATCGAAATTCTATCCGCCAGACTATGAATATCCAGCTTTCCATGCTCGGTAATGGCGGCCTGTTTGTATGAATAAATGTATCGTTCACTGTGCTTTTTGACACTATCTGGATGTTCGAATTTCAACCCCTTCCCTTTCCCTCTCCCAGGAACAGAAGAAAATGGAACAACATACGCCCTCCAGTTAGTGTCAAAAAGCACAGTAAAGGATACATTATTCATACTGATCGCGCACGGGCGGGATCCCTACGTTGTGTTACGGATATAAAATAAAACAACACCGATTGCTTTGCCGTCCTGCCATGGCAGAGGCAGTGAAACCATAGAGGTAACTCTAAGACCACTGGGTCCCGAAGAAAATCATTATTATTTTTGGCTCACTCAGTACCAGAACAACGGTCCCAAGCAGTCCCAAGCTATTTCACTCACCCCTGCATGTTCTGCATGAATCCACACACCCCTGATGTTATCTGTCAAAACTTTCATAGCGAATCAAAACAAACATAGTGTAGTAATAGAATTTCAACTAGAATCCAGCTTTCCATGCTCGGTAATGGCGGCCTGTTTGTATGAATAAATGTATCCTTCACTGTGCTTTTTGACACTAACTGGAGGGCGTATGTTGTTCCATTTTCTTCTGTTCATGGGAGAGGGAAAAGGAGGGGTCAAAACCCGAACATCCAGATAGTGTCAAAAAGCACAGTGAAGGATACATTTATTCATACAAACAGGCCGCCATTACCGAGCATGGAAAGCTGGATAGGGTACGTTAATCGTTTGCTTGGGACCAATAGGCTACTAAAGTGGTGAGCCAATTTAAAATCGTTAGTTTCGTATTGATTGTTGGTGAAACTATATTCATATCAGGGATAGCACATGACAGAGAAACAATAACGAATTGGCGTTGACGGCACCATCGAAAAATCGTCTCTGCTA